TAGCGGTGTCCATAATCTAACTTTAATAATTATTAACTATGCAGAAATAATACATATCAAATATAATACGTTTTTTTTCGATATATTTCAAGAAATGTTAATTTCTTTACATTTTTTATTGATTTTTGGACAATACTTCTAAAATACGTTAAAAATTTAACTTTAAAACAACAAACTGGTACTCTGGATATGACGGGAAAGCAAGGATAAATACAATTTGGCTCTTACGATATCAATAAGGAGTAGTTTACGACGCAATTTTGGATATTGTGAATGATGAAAAATTAAATTAAATTAAAATTTCAAAAATCCAACATAGCATGATTTGCTCAATAGAATGAATCGCATAATAAATAAGTAAAATGTTTGGAAACCCAAATATTAATATTGTTAAAAATAATTAAAATTTTTATAATATTTGATTTTCTAAATAAATTTAAAATCAATATATTTTATACACTTTTAGATTATACCTAATTTTTTGTGTACTTAATCCAGAATAATTAAACATTAATTTTTAATAAATATGTAAATATTTATATAATTTAAATGATAAACTGTTAAAACAGTTAATAGTAATAGGGCGGGGGGGGGCGCTAGAAAAAAAGTTGCATGCGGGCGCTAAGGACCCCAGGACCGGCCCTGTATATATATATATATATAATATATATATTGATGAAATCTAAAATCAATACTCTAAATATACTTGATACAAATATATTTATGTATATATATAAATACAATTTATTAATACTTACAACAAAACTAAATTAATTTAATTTCAAAATCACGACTTTTGAAATTGTTTGTTCAAAAACTCTATAACAGCATCTTTGGACATATTTTTCTGCGTTTCGTTCAATGTATCATGAACTTCATAGAGTGGATTTTCAGAATTTGCAGACTCTCCAACAACGATTATAAATGGATAACCGGTTCTGAGATAAAATATTTATATATATATGAAGAAGAATTTACTTAATGACATATGTTAATAATAAATATATGAAACTTTTAATTGAATTGCAAACTATCTAAATGTTAAAATTAAGAGGTAAAACTATTAGATATTTATTTTCATTAATTTGGAAGCATTTGATCTCTTGGGAGCAAAGAAATTCAAAAATGTCCGTATTAAGGACCACCCTAATATATATATATATATATATATATATATATATATATATATATATATCATTTGTATGTATTAATAATGATACCTTTTAGCTTCACGGAACCTTTTACCAATAGTCATTGTAGTTCTGTCGTCAATTATAACATCGTCTGCCAAATAAGTTAAACTAGACAAATCTCGATATAAATCTTCAGATAATGGCATACATTTAGCTTCTTCTTTACTTCCTTTCTGCAATAACAAAATTATATTATATTAGAGTGGTCCTTAATATGGACATTTTGAAATTTCTTTGCTCCCAAGGGCTCAAATGCTTCCAAATTAATTCAAAAAAGGCCTCTAAAAGTTTCAGCTCTTAATATTAACATTTAGATAGTCCGCAATGCAATTAAAAGTTTCTTATATTTATTATTAAGTAGATTCTTGCGCCATCTGTGATAGCATTTGTGTACTCAAATATTATAAAGCACTTAAAAATATTTATAAAACACTTAACCTCTAATTAAATCCATGTGGACTGTTTAACGAAATATTTATTCATCATGGCATCAAAATTAATTTTGCAGCAAAATATTTATTTAATTGGTGATTCTGACACTCAAATTATCAAAAATAAATTGCCATCAAAATTACAAGTCTGCTATCACAGATGGCACAAGAATTTACTTAATAATAAATATACAAAACTTTTAATTGAATTGCGGACTATCTAGATGTTAATATTAAGAGCTAAAACTTTTAGAGAATTTTTCTTTATTAATTTGGAAGCATTTGAGCCCTTGGGAGCAAAGAAATTCGAAAATGTCCATATTAAGGACCACCCTTATATTACACACACATATATATATATATATATATATATATAATATATATATATATATATATATATATATATATATTATTTTTATTATTATTATATTCATTCATTACCTTCGGTGGTATAATACAAGCAACATAAGGTGCAATCTTCACCGGCCACCTCAGTTCATCGGGTTTGCTCAATGCTTCCAAAGTGGCCCCAATAATCCTCGATACACCTAAACCGTGACAACCCATTTGTAATATTTGAGGCTTACCAGAAGCTGATAGAAAATTAGCTGCAAGAGGCTTCGTGTAACGGTCTTCTAGAAAGAAACTGTGACCGACCTGAAATAATAAAACATAATTAAAATGATAGAATATTAAATGATACAATATTCATTATTATTATTATTTGTGTTAAGTTATTCTTTTAATTTTTTTTTTTTTTTTTTTTTTATTTCAATAATTATTACAACTGCTGATTTATTAACATCAAGTAATATTGATAAATAATAATATAAATTTAAATAAATAAAAGAGCAAAGGATAAAATTTACAAGAAAATAATATCCGTAATATGATTTAATGTAAAATATAAGCAAATAATAACAAAAATAAGATTAATAAATAATATAAATAAAATTTCAGAATAATAAAATAATACTAGAAAATTAATAAAATATAACAAAATAACAATAATAGAAATAGTAAGATAATAATAATAATAATAATATTAATAATAATAACATATGAATTTTTAAATTAAATGTCAATGTGACAACCAAAAAAATTGTAAAAATGTAAATACAAAAATATTGTTAATAAAATTGATTATTAGTTAAATTTTAAGTGTAGAATTGTAGAGTTTTCGATGGCAGCTAAACCTGCACCAACTTTGTCTAAAACAGGTAATGTTAAAAATTCATTATTAGCTTTCCGAAGGAGAAGTTTGTTTTTATTAAAAAATCCGATTCGCTAATTTTATGTTTTCTCGACGTTTCAAGCCATTCTGAATCGAATGAGACCAACATTTGGAAAAAGTATGTATGTGTGTGTGTGTGTGTGAATAGATTTTTTGCCGTAAATCGACGTTTACTCAAAAACGGCTGGACCGATTTCAAACATTTAAAAGCCATTCGATGTATCTCGATGAGGACTAGCGTTTATCAACTTTGTGCGACGATGGGCCGGGTCGTTTCTTTGTAAATAACAGAAAAGAGAAATATTGTCGACCATGTCCGCAATTCTGTGCTTTTGTTCACTGAAATTTAAAATAATAAGCTACAATTTTAGGGCACACAAGCACTATAGTGTCTGTGTAATACAATATAATTAATATAATTACAGAAATTTTCTTAAATGTGTTTGAGAAAATTCTATTCGAAATCACAATGTTTAGATTTAATTGAAAGCTATAACTTTATTTTTGAAATAAACAGTTGAAAATTTTATCTATATATTTAAATCTCAAATTCGGTTGATCAAGTCAATTTTTCACATTTCGGGGAAGTTCATGCAACTTGCCTTAAGGCTAAATGCCACTTTCAACCAGTTTAATTAATTATGTCTATAATAAAGTATTATATTGTATTATTAATAAATTAAACTAATATAAAACACACTTTCAAGGGTGTATTCTAGTCTGGGAGCAACCATAGAAAAAAGGAAAATAATATTTTTTACTGTCCATTAAGTTATTAATCAATGTTTTAGGAGTACAGAAAAAATTCAAATTATAAAGGATCAAAAAGTTTTACTTCTAGCAGGTGATGAAGTGTGAGGACCTTAAAACATTTCTTCTGCAGTTTTTAAATATTTTTAATTACAATCTATAATTTTACACAAAGAAAAAGTTGTGACTTGTAAAAACTGTAATAGTATTGGGCCGAAAATCGAAAATGAAAGCTTATGCATATCTTCACGTTTCAGAGGTTTCTGAACATTTTCGTGACACCTCAGAAAAAATGTTTGCGAGTGTGTGTTTTGTGTCCGCATTTTTTCGTCCACGTTTTCGGGCGCACGGATCAACCGTTTTCAATAATTCTAAAAACATTCGATTCCTATTGATAGGGAGATGTGCTGATTAGTTTTTGGCAAAGGCAGGTCCAGCCATTTCAAAAATACAAGACTAAATGTACAAAAAATAGCAGTTTTTGAGAACCTATTGAATCATTCAACTTTCGGCTTGTGTTGACAAAACATTCGCCTTTGGGATTTTTTTTTATTTCATTTTTTTTTCAAGAAAATATTTTTGTATATCGAAAATAATTCAGATTTTAATTTTAATTCTTACTGAAGTGCTAAAACTCGCTTATATACCTTAAATAAATAATTTTAACTTTGTAATTCAGTTTATATAATTTTTATAAACATTAATGTTACAGTATTTATATTAATCTAATTTATTTGAAAACATTTATTAACATTGCTCGATCATTTCGTTACGGTACGGGAAGTCCAAGCAATTTGCCTTAAGGCACGATGCCATGCACCACTAGTAGTTGCTTCTTAATTTGACCAATTATTTTTTCTTTTCAGCCGCATCTCCGATTGCAGAACTTTTCAAAGTATTTGCAAAAGTTGGCAAAACCGAAGCCGAAGGCAATGCACTATCATACGAACAATTACAACAATGGATGAACATGGCACAAATCACAGACTCTAATGATCGCAAAGTCGCTGAACTATTAAAGAAAGTAAGTAACTTGCAATAAGAACTAGTGGTGTATGGCATAGTGCCTTAAGGCAAATTGCTGGAACTTCCCGTACCGTAATTCGAGAAATTTTAAACGTTTTCAAATATATTATTACAAATACTGTAACTTTCATTATTTTTCCTATCTTGTTATATCTGAGCAAATGAAATTGAAATGATAAATCAATTTATCTCCAGAACATTAACAATCGTCATTTCATTTCGAATTCAATTTCAAAAAAAAAAATGGTTGCCTAATTTGCACAAAATTGAATTGAAGGGCTCCCGTATAGTCACAGTCTAAACGCATTTGCAAATAATTCTGTGCGACACTTTCACTTATACTGTGCTTAGCTTGGCGGCATTTTCACATTTTTCAATACTTTACACAAAATTGGAAAAGTGCTCCAGTACAAATACAGTCTAAACGCACTTGGGTAAACATTTGTACCAGAGTGGCACTTAGACTGTGCTTAGCCAGGGTAATTTTTTGAATTTCTTAATCCAAAAATTTTATGGAAAATAAAAAAAGATGTAATAATTTTTTATTCTCGAAAGCAATTGTTTTGTCAATACAAGCAGAAAGTTTTTTAGATCATTCAAATCGGACGCTTAGTTCACTCAAAAACTGCCATTTTTTGCACATTTAGCTCTGTATCTTCGAAATGGCGGGACCTGTCTTTGCAAAAAACTAATCGCCTCCTCTCCCAATCATTACAAATTGAATGTTTTTTAGATCATTCATCCGATACTCCGCTCTCTCAAAAACTCGACTTGTATTTTCTGCACTCTTTGCTACGTATCTCCGTAACGGCTGGACTTGCCTTTGCCAAAAACTAATCAGCACATTTTCCTATCAATAGGGATCGAATGTTTTTTAAACCATTCAAATCGGTTGATCCGTGCGCCCGAAAACGTGGACGAAAATTTGTATCCATACATACACACATCCATTTTTCTGAAGTATGCCAAAATGTTCAAAAACCTTCAAAACGTCGAAAGATGCAAAAATTTTCATTTTCGATTTTCGGCCCATTACTATAACTACCCTACGGGAAGTTAATTATCAATCTAAAGTACTTTTTCTATTACAGTTCAGTGCCACCAAAGAAATCGAATACGCCCAATTCGACAATTTCCTCAACGACTTTGCAAAAGCTATAAAAATATCACCGGAGCAGCTTAAAGAAAAATTGGTATCTGTAGCCGTGCCAAGCCCTTTGACCTTACAGGCCCCTGCGGATACACCTGTTACGCAGGAGCAACCTGCAGAAGCAGAGGCTGCAAACCTACCAAGAACATATTTAGATTTACCTGATTTACCGGAAATACCTGAAGGTTACTGTCCTATGAGAAGAAAAGGCAAGGAAGTGTGCGAAGAAAATTTTGATGATAAAAATAAGGAAGGTTCAGATAAACCTGATAGAAAGACTAAGAAATGACTACAAATTCTAACGGGGCTACGGTAGATAAATAATTTATTCTTACCTCTATGCCTTTTTTCGTGGATAGATTTGTTTTGCAACCAGGACAATCTAATTCAGCATCAAAGGCTTCGGATTTGGTAAGAAAACCACAATTGATGCAATTCAGCAATTTATCTTCGCCGACGTCTGCCAAGATGTGATATTCGTGGGATATACTGCCGCCTATTGTGCCACCATCGGCTTCCACTAGAAATAGACATTATTTATTAAATTTTATTTATAACAAATATTGAAGCATATTTTATTTAAAGTTCAGTGTTACCTTTTACAAATGGTACATTCAGTTCCGTAAACAGCTCAAAATATGTATTATTCACAGACTCATATGATTCCAGTGCATCCTTTCTGCTAATGTCGAATGTATATAAATCTTTCATTACAAATTCTCGTGCTCTCAGCAAGCCGAACCTTGGTTTAATTTCGTCTCTGAATTTACTGGTTATCTATTTATACAAATAATTTATATATATATATATATATATATATATATATATATTATTTCTTACCTGGTATAATCTGATAGGAAACATTTTGTATGACAATGGTGCTAGCGATGCGATGAGTGCTGTGATAGATTCTTCATGTGTCTGCAAGAAAAATTTTTATTAATACTTACATTATTGAATTTAAAACTACATAGTTTTAAATTAAAATAATATAATAATTGAGTATAGTTTATTATATAATAATTGAGCATAATTTAAATAATTGAGTGAGTAAATATATTCTAATACAATACCTACGGGACCAAGTACATACATCCTCTCATGTCTGTCTTTTAATGTAAAAATTTCAGAGTTTGCTAACCGACCTGAAAAGAAAATTGGTTAAACATTTTGTTACTGCATTTATTAATCAATTATATTTACCTGTGGTTTCCCATAAATCAGCACTAGTTATAGAAGGCATATAAATCTTCTGCGCTTCAATCTTATGCATATATTTATCAATCAGATCATTCAATTTCCTCAAAACTCGTTCACCTAAAGGTAGCATGTGAAAACTACCAGGTGCTCCAGATCTTATTATACCCACATCAGTCAATAACTATAAAATATAAATAAATAGTAAAGGATAATCAAGACATTGATTGTTTTCAAATTTACCTTTTGGCTTTTTGATATAAGTACATCTTTTGTGGGCGATATTTGAGCTGTTTTTGGAGTTATGATTAAAGGTTGAAATATTCTTGATACACGATTCATATTTTTAAAGGTTTAGTAATATTTAATTGTGAAATTTTATGTAAACAATTCACATTACAAGTGTGGACTTTAGGTTATGCAAATGGCTGACAAACTGTCAACGATCGCACCGGGGTGAAGTTAATCGAATGATATTATGCGGGAAATTCAAATTTTTGTTTTTGAAATTTATTAAATCAATTATATATATTTTATCATATATATATTTCATTATATATACATACATATATATATATACATATACATATACATATACATATACATATACATATATATATATATATATATATATATATATATATGTGTGTGTATTAATTCATCAGCATATTTATAGAATTTTGCAACAAAGCACTTACAAAAAAACTGTACTATATCCATCCAAAGTCTCCTTATTGCACGTTGACAACAAAACAAGATAATTGTCGATATAAAAAACTTGTGTGGCAGCTATAACAAATATGTTATAATGTTTATGTTAATAATTGTCATGTAATACATTGTATATAAATAGTATAATTTCTTAGAACAGTTTTTCTTTTATATTATTCCAGATTATAAAAAAAAAATTAGAATAAATTATTTATGTAATTTGTTATTAGAAAGAAATTGTAATAACATAGTTACTTCTGTTATTTTGATGATACGAAGATAGAAAAATATTTATGTAGTAAATTTCAAATTCAAAAGCATGAAAAGTATCACCTAATTGTTTATTATGAAAAGAAGTCCTTTTATAAATTCATTAAGAAAAAATGTCTTGATCTCATATATAACTAAAAAAAATTTTTATTTATAAAATCAGATTATAAGATCATGATCTATAAATTAAGTATGGGTCTCTGTAGATCTCCGAAACCGCTAGACCTGCCTTCCCAATAATTTAATCAGTTGTTCATCTTGTCAATACAAGTAAAATGTTTTTTGAATTATTAAAATCGGACGCTCCGTTCTCTTAAAACCTGAGTTACCGTTTTTGATACTTTTTGCCCCGTATCTTCGGAACGGCTAGTCCTGCCTTTGCCAAAAACTAATCAGCACGTCTCCTTATCAATACGAATCGAATGTTTTTTGAATTAATCAAATCGGTTGATTCGTGTTCCCGAAATCGTCGACGAAAATTTGTATCCGCACACACACACACATCCATACATACATTTATACACACACACATACATCAATTTTTTTAAAAGTTTTAAAAGCCAAAATGTTCAGAAACCTTTGAAACGTAAAGATATATAAAAATTTTAATTTTTGATTTTTTTGAAGTTAATAAATAAATAAAATTAATAATATTTATAAATTTCTATTAATAATATTTTTTAAAATTCTATAAAGTACAGAATTTTTTTTCAAGAGGATTCTGGCAGATTCCTGGGTCATTTTCTTATTAAACATAATAATAAAACCGAGTATCTTTTATAAAAATATATATTTACACCTTTTATATTATATTATATCGAAATATATTAAAAACAATGTCATATTTACATACACCTCATGAATAATCTAAATATATCTATTCAACCTTAGTCATGAGAATAAAATAAAACGTTTTGGATAAAATATCACCTATTGTAAAAAACATATAAGTATGTTACTACTTACAAATTGTGTCACTACATCAAGCTCTATATATTTACGTGCACCAGCATAAATAAACAATAAATCACAATAACATTTAATTCCTCTTCTGCGTGAGATAATTGCTGATTCTCTGCGCTATGAACGGCCACAGAATCAGAAACAGAAACCAATTAGGTGTTATACCTTGAAACGGCCACCACTGGGGCACTTTTGTACGAACCGCCAGGAATTGATTAGTCTTACGCTCCATTTTAGAAACTCTTTCATTCGCATTGTGTAAATCAGCTTTCATGCTGTCTATAGTTTTTTGTAACTGCTCACATAAATTAACAGCGTAATGGTTTTCTAATTTGTGTAACTCGTCGTTCATATGTGCAACATTGTTTAAGGTTTCTTTAGTTAAACTGTCGCCTCTACGTTTTCTTTCCTTGCGACTTACATGTACTTTAGCTTTGGACGTTGTTAATTCATGCTCACTTTCTACGGTATCAATATACTCGTCTTCAGAGTTGTCAGGTGTTTCTGAATGGTGCACACCGTTAGTTTTAATACCGTTAACAAGTTTTTCATCTCGTATAGGACTGACTTCTCGCGAAGTGATGGGAGATGCTGGTGTGGATCGAACTTTTTGTATAGCGTTAGGGGCTACAGCTTCAAGCATGTCTAAAGACAAGCCTTCGACGCCTTCAACGCTTTGTATAAAACTAGCAACGTTGTCTGTGTAAGCCATGGTTTCGATAATTTTACCCAAATCGGCTATGTACAACAACATGGCTTCTTCAGCCGGCATGTCACCTAGCTTATTCCAGGCGTCCCATTTCGCTCTGTTGACGACGTCCCAGAAGGCAGGCCTTCGTTGTTTGCAGGGACCCAATGTGGCTTGTTTGTAAAAACTGTAGAATCTCAGCATCATTTCATGGCTCGGCTGAAATGTGCCATTCTTTGGCATGCTTCTTATAACATTAACAGCAGCATCGAAGCGCTCCTTAACAGGCATCGTGGCCGTCTGCATCTTTTTCGCTGATTTCGAACAATCGTCTAGAAGAGAAAGAAATCAATAATGTGACTTCATTGAATTTGCATGGATGGATGAAAGTTTTGGAAGCACTGGAATCATAATCGAGGTCCGTTTGAGTTATTTAGAGACCTTGTATATATGCAAAAACATATTATGTCGATAAAAGAATTAAAAGTAATTATTTAATGACAGGCGAATTGTCGATTGCAAAAATGACGTATGAAATGTCAAAGTGACATATCATTATTAGGGGTGCCATAGCTGATCCAATTGCATTATTTTCGCTAATCGTTACATTACATTAATTTATTTACATTATCAAAATAAAGCAAATAAAGCCTATATTTCTTTCTAAAATAATTTATATTGAGTACAAATAAATTTAAAATCGTTTTCATTTCCTTTATCGTGCGCACACAGGGTCATTAACAGGAGTACCAAAACCAAATAAAATGATCCAGATACATATTTTTGCAAAAATTATTATCACAATAAACTAATCTAATGTATTAAACAACTTAAATTAACAGTTTTAAACATATTATTTGTATTTTATATGAATTACAATAATAAAATAATCCTCTTTTATATAGGAACGTTTTTAAAAAAATATAATGTAGCTCCATTCATGAAGGAATATGTTGTAGGAGAATGCACTTATCATGAAGGAATATATTATAGGAGAATCATATTGTTAACAATAATTTTATAATTTGTTATTATTATTTTCATTATCATCTATGATTATTGTTGTTACTAATTTATTTGTATTATTTTTATTACTATTATTTACTTATTTATTACTCTTTCTTAATCATTTATTTATTATTAATATTGATTAATTAATTCACTTATTTTGCCATTTATTTCATAATTTTATTATAATTATAAATATTGTTTTTATTTGCTATTATGCACTTAATGATATTATTATTTAATACTACTATTTATTTAATTATATTTTTATTTATTTATATTTTTTATATATTTAATTCGGTAATTTTATTTTAATTTAATTTATTACATTTTTTTTAATTTAATAGTTGAAACAAAAAAAAACATTTTATTTTATTTTATTATAAAATTAGTCTCATTAAACTTTATACATATAAAATTATTGCAATTAATAATGAATAATAAATACATAATATAAAGCAAATTTCAGTAATTACTTAGCCTTGTGAAATTTTTTTTACCTTTATTTCACTTATTTAAAAAAGTCACCTATATTGTATATTTTTTAAATTTATTATAAAAACATGTTATCATTATTTTAAATATATTATGCTATCTTAATAATAATGAAATGCAAAAATTGAGTTTTGTTTGTATGTTTCATTTTTTTATTATAGATAAATATGGATTTTGATAACGTTTCGATAATTCGTATCTTTTGTAAGAAGGACTTTGATAACGAGGCCGTTTGATAAATAATTTATAAAAAAAATATGAATCTATATATAAATATATTTATGTCATTATCAATGAATGCTATACAATTCAATAAAGGAAATAAATAATATTAATTTCATATTATTAAGTATATATACAATGTATATAATATATACATATATAATGTATATAAAAAAATTCTGTTAACGTTTCGGAAACTTATTGAACTCATCTTCAGTGCAAAAACATACAAGTAATTATATTGAACCGATGAACAAAAGCAATTAAACATTTTTTTAATTAAACTTTATATTTTATTTATTTATTGTGTAATTAACGTACGAATGTACGTATACATTTTTATGTCAATATTTAAATGTCAAACATTTTTTTGGAAAAAATTTACTATCGGCTAAATTCACACGTAACGTGCTTACGTGTGAACTGTCAAAATTTGTTAAAATTTCGAATAATAAAACAACAAAATCCGTATTTATTTTAATATAATGGAATCTTTTGATATTGTTAGTATAATTTACGTTGTTTTTGTATTTAAATTTCAATAATAAACTTTGACACTATATATATTAGATTAAATAAAAAAAAATCTTTAAAACAATACTAAACTTGGCGCCGATAAGGTAAAGGATGAAAATGTCAAATTTAATTCGTAACAAAAATAATTATAAATACATTAAAAAAAAGTTTTTAATCAACATTTTATATATTAGATTTTATAATATATGAACGTAGAAATTCTTCATTAATATTTAAATGTTTAAAACAAAATATTTGAAAAATTTACATCGGCTAAGTTCAAACCTAACTTGTTCAACTGTCAAAATTAGTAAAAATTTCGAATATTTAACAACAAAATTCATATTTATTTTAATATAATGGAATCTCTTGATATTATTAGTTATTTTAATTTAAATAATAAACTCTGATACTATATATTAAATTAAAAAAATCTTTAAAACAATTCTAAACTTGGCGCCGATAAGGTAAAGGATGAAAATGTCAAATTTAATTCATAACAAAAATAATTATAAATACATAAAAAAAAGTCTTTAATCAACATTTTATATATTAGCTTTTATAATTAATGAACGTAGAAATTTTTATATTAATATTTAAATGTATAAAACAATTTTTTGTAAAAAAAAAGTACATTGGCTTAGTTCACACGTAACCCGTTCAACTGTAAAATTTTGTGCAAATTCCGATTTAACAACAATATTTAATAATATCTTTTAATATCGTAAGTACAATTTACGTTGTTTTTGTGTTTTTGTATTTAAATAATAAACTCTGACACTATATATTAGATTAAATGAAAAAATACTTAAAAACAATACTAAACATGGCGCCGATATGATAAAGGATAAAAATGTCAAATTTAATTCGGAACAAAATTAATTATAAATATATTAAACAAAAGTTTTTAATCAACATTTTATATATTAGATTTTATAGTATATGAACGTAGAAATTTTTACATTAATATTTAAATGTTAAAAACAAAATATTTTGAAAATTTACATCGGCTAAGTTCAAACCTAACTTGTTCAACTGTCAAAATTAGTAAAAATTTCGAATATTTAACAACAAAATCCGTATTTATTTTAATATAATGTAATCTTTTAATATTGTTAGTATATACTAAATTAATTTACGGTGTTTTGTATTTGAATTTAAATATTAAATCCCGATTAAATATAAAAAAATCTTAAAAACGAAACTGAACATGGCGCCAACTAGACGAAGGACATTAACTGTCAAATTTAATTTCGAATAAAAAATAAATATATTAAAAAAAATATAGAATTTTGTAAATAGAATTAAAAAATATATATAGAATCAACATTTTATATAATTGTTTATACAATATACGAATTTTGAAAATATTATATTAACTTTTAAATATATAAAACAAATGAAAACAAACTTCTTCGGGAAGTTGAAAATAGTAAAAATTTACATCGTCTAAGTTCAAACCTATCTCGTTCAACTGACAAAATTTGTACAAATTTCGAATATTAAAACAAAATCCGTATTTATTTCAAGACAATGGACTAATGTGATATTACTACTACAATACAACAACGTTATTGTATTTTAATTTCATCAATAAACCGCAGTCAAAGGGCATCGATCACATTCCAGGGTCAATGTTCAAGTACGTTGTTAGAATTCTAACCAAAAAATTTGCACAATAATCAAAAAAAAAATGCACTCACCTTAAAATGATAACTGATACACAATTAAAACAGCGGGTAATCCTTGTACAACAATTTTCCTAGTGCATTGTTTAAAACCAACAAAAACAAATAAAAACAATATCAATTCCAAGAGCGACAATCTGTTTATCACTAGAACACTATCACATATAATTTTGCAGAGTGGAACTGTGCAACATTTACTTTCTATAAATGACTTTATTAGTTTCTTTTCGTGTAAAACTAATCCCCATTATCGGATTTCAACTATCAACTACCGACTCTAAACAAGTCTTGCATACTAATGAAAGCAATGACGAGTATTACATTTACAAACGCCTCATATGCAAATATCTATATATACTTACATATATTTTTTTCTTAATTGCTAAGTCATCAACTCATTCTGTGTGACGTACGATATTCATTTCTATATATTTTATAACGTGTCTGCAACTCGGTTGCATAATTATTAATGCAAGAAATATAATGCTAATTAATAAAATACATAAAAAATTTGTTACATAAAATTAAATGACAGCGGCTGTAATGGCGGCGCGGGGTAATAGATTAATAAATAAATAAATAAAAATCTATATATATGGTATAATTATACTGGATTTTTATACCATATGCATTCTTCCCCATATATTTTAATACATACAATTCTCAATAATAACTTTCTTAATTATTCTTTTCAACTCCGCCATTATTCAATTTTCACATAATCTTGTTTTACTTTTAACGAAATTTGTAACGACTTATTCAAACAAAATTTAACGTTTTTCTTTCTCCTTTTCGACACATACATTTTGAAATTTAATTTAAATCAATAACCACACCGTTTTATTAAGTTTATGTATATAATTTTATATAAATCACAAGTTTATTTATTTAATATTTTACAAATGTCAAAACTGAACGAAATTGCGTCCATTACGGCTCCTTCGTCCTGATTGGCGGAAACGTAGAGTTGTATGATGAAGTTGGTCCTGATTAGAAGTACCAGATGCGGTAAGTAAATTTAATGGCGGTTTTTTCAAAATTTGAAATGTAAATATTAATTTATTTATATTTATTATAAACCAAAGAAAATTAAGTTTTCGCCAGAATTCCGATTTGTTATTTATGTTCTCTCGACGTTTCAAGTTATTATAAATGATTTCATACAATTACAGAGTTTATGGTCATAAACATTCTAAAATATTTTAGGGCTATAAAAATTGTTTTTATTATAAAACAGTTTATAATAAACATTTAAGTAATTATAAAATTATACCTCCTGAAAGAATTTCATAAGCGTGTGTTGTAAAATAAAATATATATGCTAAAGGAGACTAAAATTAAATTTTAAATCTTAATTGTGAATCCTGCATTATCTTTAAGCTCTGCAGGACGCACCGTTTGTACTAGAAAGTTGTAATTGTAGTACATTGTAGTAATTTTACATCCATTGTAGTATAGTTTACAAACATTGTAGTAATTTTACACTCATTGTAGTCTTTTTACAAACATTGTAGTAATTTTACACCCATTGTAGTATTTTTACAAACATTGTAGTAATTTTACGCCCATTGTAGTATTGTTTACAAACATTGTAGTAATTTTACACCCATTGTAGTATTGTTTACAGACATTGTAGTAATTTTACACCCATTGTAGTATTTTTACAAACATTGTAGTAATTTTACACCCATTGTAGTATTGTTTACAAACACATTGTTGTATTTTTACTCCCATTGTAGTATTTTTACAAACATTGTAGTAATTTTACACCCATTGTAGTATTGTTTACAGACATTGTAGTAATTTTACACCCATTGTAGTATCTTTACAAACATTGTAGTAATTTTACGCCCATTGTAGTATTGTTTACAAACATTGTAGTAATTTTACACCCATTGTAGTATTGTTTACAGACATTGTAGTAATTTACACCCATTGTAGTATTGTTTACAAACTTGTAGTAATTTTACACCCATTGTAGTATTGTTTACAAACACATTGTTGTATTTTTACTCCCATTGTAGTATTTTTACAAACATTGTAGTAATTTTACACCCATTGTAGTATTGTTTACAGACATTGTAGTAATTTTACACCCATTGTAGTACTTTTACAAACATTGTAGTAATTTTACGCCCATTGTAGTATTGTTTACAAACATTGTAGTAATTTTACACCCATTGTAGTAATTTTACACCCATTGTAGTATTTTTACAAACATTGTAGTAATTTTACACCCATTGTAGTATTGTTTACAAACACATTGTTGTATTTTTACTCCCATTGTAGTATTGTTTACAAACATTGTAGTAATTTTACACCCATTGTAGTATTGTTTACAGACATTGTAGTAATTTTACACCCATTGTAGTATTGTTTACAAACATTGTAGTAATTTTACACCCATTGTAGTATTTTTACAAACATTGTAGTAATTTTACGCCCATTGTAGTATTGTTTACAAACACATTGTTGTATTTTTACTCCCATTGTAGTATTTTTACAAACATTGTAGTAATTTTACACTCATTGTAGTCTTTTTACAAACATTGTAGTAATTTTACACCCATTGAAGTATTTTTACAACATTGTAGTAATTTTACGCCCATTGTAGTATTGTTTACAAACATTGTAGTAATTTTACACCCATTGTAGTATTGTTTACAGACATTGTAGTAATTTTACACCCATTGTAGTATTTTTACAAACATTGTAGTAATTTTACACCCATTGTAGTATTGTTTACAAACACATTGTTGTATTTTTACTCCCATTGTAGTATTTTTACAAACATTGTAGTAATTTTACACCCATTGTAGTATTGTTTACAGACATTGTAGTAATTTTACACCCATTGTAGTATTTTTACAAACATTGTAGTAATTTTACGCCCATTGTAGTATTGTTTACAAACATTGTAGTAATTTTACACCCATTGTAGTATTGTTTACAGACATTGTAGTAATTTTACACCCATTGTAGTATTGTTTACAAACATTGTAGTAATTTTACACCCATTGTAGTATTGTTTACAAACACATTGTTGTATTTTTACTCCCATTGTAGTATTTTTACAAACATTGTAGTAATTTTACACCCATTGTAGTATTGTTTACAGACATTGTAGTAATTTTACACCCATTGTAGTATTTTTACAAACATTGTAGTAATTTTACGCCCATTGTAGTATTGTTTACAAACACATTGTTGTATTTTTACTCCCATTGTAGTATTTTTACAAACATTGTAGTAATTTTACACTCATTGTAGTCTTTTTACAAACATTGTAGTAATTTTACACCCATTGAAGTATTGTTTACAGACATTGTAGTAATTTTACACCCATTGTAGTATTTTTACAAACATTGTAGTAATTTTACACCCATTGTAGTATTGTTTACAAACACATTGTTGTATTTTTACTCCCATTGTAGTATTTTTACAAACATTGTAGTAATTTTACACCCATTGTAGTATTGTTTACAGACATTGTAGTAATTTTACACCCATTGTAGTATTTTTACAAACATTGTAGTAATTTTACGCCCATTGTAGTATTGTTTACAAACATTGTAGTAATTTTACACCCATTGTAGTATTTTTTACAAACATTGTAGTAATTTTACGCCCATTGTAGTATTGTTTACAAACATTGTAGTAATTTACACCCATTGTAGTATTGTTTACAGACATTGTAGTAATTTTACACCCATTGTAGTATTGTTTACAAACATTGTAGTAATTTTACACCCATTGTAGTATTGTTTACAGACATTGTAGTAATTTACACCCATTTACACCATTGTAGTTTTTACAAACATTGTAGTAATTTTACACCCATTGTAGTATTTTTACAAACATTGTAGTAATTTTACGCCCATTGTAGTATTGTTTACAAACATTGTAGTAATTTTACAACCCATTGTAGTATTGTTTACAGACATTGTAGTAATTTTACAACCCATTGTAGTATTGTTTACAAACATTGTAGTAATTTTACACCCATTGTAGTATTGTTTACAAACACATTGTTGTATTTTTACTCCCATTGTAGTATTTTTACAAACATTGTAGTAATTTTACACCCATTGTAGTATTGTTTACAGACATTGTAGTAATTTTACACCCATTGTAGTTACTTTTACAAACATTGTAGTATTTTTACAAACATTGTAGTATTTTACACCCATTGTAGTATTGTTTACAGACATTGTAGTAATTTTACACCCATTGTAGTATTTTTACAAACATTGTAGTAATTTTACACCCATTGTAGTATTGTTACAACACATTGTTGTATTTTTACTCCCATTGTAGTATTTTTACAAACATTGTAGTAATTTTACACCCATTGTAGTATTGTTTACAGACATTGTAGTAATTTTACACCCATTGTAGTATTTTACAAACATTGTAGTAATTTTACGCCCATTGTAGTATTGTTTACAAACATTGTAGTAATTTTACACCCATTGTAGTATTGTTTACAGACATTGTAGTAATTTTACACCCATTGTAGTATTGTTTACAGACATTGTAGTAATTTTACACCCATTGTAGTATTTTTACAAACATTGTAGTAATTTTACGCCCATTGTAGTATTTTTACAAACATTGTAGTAATTTTACGCCCATTGTAGTATTGTTTACAAACACATTGTTGTATTTTTACTCCCATTGTAGTATTTTTACAAACATTGTAGTAATTTTACACTCATTGTAGTCTTTTTACAAACATTGTAGTAATTTTACACCCATTGAAGTATTTTTACAAACATTGTAGTAATTTTACGCCCATTGTAGTATTGTTTACAAACATTGTAGTAATTTTACACCCATTGTAGTATTGTTTACAGACATTGTAGTAATTTTACACCCATTGTAGTATTTTTACAAACATTGTAGTAATTTTACACCCATTGTAGTATTGTTTACAAACACATTGTTGTATTTTTACTCCCATTGTAGTATTTTTACAAACATTGTAGTAATTTTACACCCATTGTAGTATTGTTTACAGACATTGTAGTAATTTTACACCCATTGTAGTATTTTTACAAACATTGTAGTAATTTTACACCCATTGTAGTATTGTTTACAGACATTGTAGTAATTTTACACCCATTGTAGTATTTTTACAAACATTGTAGTAATTTTACACCCATTGTAGTATTGTTTACAAACATTGTTGTATTTTTACTCCCATTGTAGTATTTTTACAAACATTGTAGTAATTTTACACCCATTGTAGTATTGTTTACAGACATTGTAGTAATTTTACACCCATTGTAGTATTTTACAAACATTGTAGTAATTTTACACCCATTGTAGTATTGTTTACAAACACATTGTTGTATTTTTACTCCCATTGTAGTATTTTTACAAACATTGTAGTAATTTTACACCCATTGTAGTATTTTTACAAACATTGTAGTATTGTAGTATTGTTTACAAACATTGTAGTAATTTTACACCCATTGTAGTATTGTTTACAAACATTGTAGTATTTTACACCCTTGTATTATTTTTACAAACATTGTAGTAATTTTACACCCATTGTAGTATTTTTACAAACATTGTAGTAATTTTACACCCATTGTAGTATTTTTACAAATATTGTAGTAATTTTAAACCCATGACCAAGATTTTTAATTTCAGTATGGGAAGTTCTAGCAGTTTGAATTAAGACACGCTGCCATGCACCCCATTAGTTAATAAAAATGTTTAAGAGATAAATTTGGTTATAATTCTTCTCCCCCAGAACCTGGTTATATATTTCAGGCGGCACCCTGAATCATATTGGTAGAGTGGCTCGGCACATCACAGTTAAAAGCTTGCCGACCCCTGTTCTAGACGGCGACGCGGCGCTTACGCGCTTCGATATTTTGTCTCTATGCAGTTAAAGCAGTACGATTGCTTTGAAAAGAAACTTCAGATCTTCCACAATATGTCAAAATAAAGAAAACATTTTTTTTCAAAAAAAATTTTTTTTTCAAAAAAAGTAATTGTTTCCCAAAAATCTAATTTTTTCGAAGTAAAATTTTTCAAAAAATGTTAATCTTTTTTCAAGAAATAATATTGGTACGGGAAGCTCCAGCAATTTGCCTTAAGGCACGATGCCATGCGCCCCACTAGTTTTAGAAATTTAGAAATAAGATCAGATTTTCTTTTTAACACAATTTATTTATTATTATTATTATTATTATTACTTTTTTTACGCAAGTTTGATGGACGCATTCGAACGGACGAGCGATCTGCTTTCACAGTCGTATTGTAAATTAGAAATACACTGCATAATATAAGTGCATAGAGAGAATTTTATTTAGGTCATGCACATGCACTTGCAGTGCTGCATTCGATTGGTAAAAAATTATAAATTATCATTTATATTTATTATATTCATGTCGATTTATGCTATTTAATGAGTAAAATAAATAATAATGTCGTATTTGTACGAGAGTAGCAGGTACCCTTGGAAAAAATGTGTTAATCAGTGTAAGAAGAAGACATGCGCTTGGCATTCATTACATTACTTTAACACAAAAAACCAGTTCTCATTGAAGGACTCTCTCATTGATATTTATTTATTTGTATTTAAATAGAATTACTTTGTGGAATTTTCCACTGTTTAATGGTAATAAATGGTAAATTTATATATAAAATATATTTTTAATGTACCGAGGTCTAAACGGCATTTTTAACTTATTACTGGTGTATGGTTTGATATTTCTCCTAAACGGTTATTCGGATTTCGATAATTCTTTTATGTCAAAAGAAATGTTTAAGATTTAATGAACGACAAAACTACAGTAATATTGTAGAAATAAATGTAAAAAATTACAAAACTACTAGTGTATGGCATCGTGCCTTAAGACAAATTGCTGGAACTTCCCGTACCGTAATAAAATATTTGAGAAATTTACACAAAATTGAAAGAGTGCTGCCGTATAGTCACAGTCTGAACGCATTTGCAAATAATTCTGTGCGACATTTCCACTTATACTGTGCTTAGCTTGGCGGCATTTTCACATTTCTCAATATACAATGAAATTAAATAAAGTTAAATATTTGAATTCTTAAAATGAGGTTTAAAAAAAAGTTGGATTGGCGGACCCTGTATTGAAATTTAATATTAATTATTAAATAATATTTATTATAACGATATTATTGGTTTTTTGTCGTAGCACAAAATATGGTAAAAATAGTTGGTAATTAAAATAAAAATACACGTATTTGTGCAAATATTTTGGACATGATAAAACCCTAAGTGCCTTCTACAAATATTATTCAAATTATATTATATTTTGCATTATTTAAATTACAATACCCGATTGTATATTGTACTTAAAACGATTTGAGATAGATTGTATTCAACACTTCAATAATTCTATTTTCGAATTTAAATTTTCCTTTTTCAAAAATATTTAAATTAAATTCGCTTCAGTTATTATTCTCATGTTGGAGCAAGTCTCTTACCGGCAACAAAAGCGACCAACTTCACTTAGTTGTTGTCGTTTCTTTAGAACTGTCACTACATAACCCACGTGCGTTAACCTTGTCAATCAATATTAAATACAAATAATTAAATAAAATTAGTTATAAACAAATAAATATAAAGTTATAAACAAAAAATGAAGCGCCTGTCCGACGATCGCACCAAGCTATTATTCGAAAAATTAGCAAAATAGTAAGTTGGCAATTACAAATATAAACATAATTTTGAGGTTATGTAGTAAACAAATATTAATTTATTATATTTTTTCTAGTATTGGACCGAATATCAAACAACTAATAGATCGCCCAGATGGAACTTATTGTTTCCGTGAACACAAAGACAGAGTTTTCTATGTATCAGAAAAAATTTTACGCCTAGCCGAAACCGTATCACCTGACAACCTGCTATCAGTAGGCACATGTTTTGGAAAGTTTACAAAAACGAATAAATTTAGATTACACATAACAGCACTCACGTTCTTAGCTCCATATGCTCCTTATAAAATCTGGGTCAAACCTTCTGCAGAGCAGCAATTCTTGTATGGAAATCCTGTCCTTAAATCCGGTTTGGGACGTATCACTGAAAACACCGAGAAATATCAAGGTGTTGTGGTTTTATCAATGAGTGACTTGCCTCTAGGTTTTGGTGTTGCTGCCAGATCCACAGCCGAGTGTAAACATGCCGATCCAATGACTACCGTATGTTTCCATCAAGCAGATATTGGTGAATACGTGCGATCAGAAGATACTTTAATATAAGTTTAAATTAATGTATTTGGTTTAATAAAATATAGTTTTGTAAGTAACATTTGGTTTTTGTTTAAAATAATTCTGTATTCCGACTAGCTTCATTTATAATTTATTAACAATATTTACAATGCGACTAAAATACCTGCGTGCAGATTTCTTTTTCACGTATCTATGGCACATCACAATTGTTTGAACTTAAACAAATGACACAACATGGATTTGTTGATCCAAATATAATACAAGTAAATGCCACAACAACAATGTGTGCCCTTTGTGAAAACTTTAATATGCATTGTACGTTTTATTATTTTTTTTACACGTTTTTATGCAAACTACAAGAATTTTAAGCCGATTCCAAATTGTATTCCTTGGCAGATACTGTCTGATTCTTCGTACTTTAGTGGGAAGCAATAATTTAGTTCTAGTCGAGCTATATGGCCGATTCTCATTGCAAGGCCCAGGCCGGTGGACATGCGCAGTTTCTCGGATAGAGAAGCCCAGGAAGCCTCCAGATCAGGAGCTAAGGGGAAGAAAAAAATTATAAACAATAGTCAATAAGAAACAGTATACCAGCACATCTCCTAATCAATACTTACAGATATCGAATTCGCCAACATTTCCTACATTGAAAAATCCATGTACCCGGAATAAATCACCGATACCACCCTGTCCTGGTCTGAAAGGCAGTGGTGAAAATAATTGTAGACCTGCTGCCCAAAACATCTAAAAAAATATCAAAAAAAATAATTAAAGATAATAAAAAGATTTCATAGTTGTATAAATAAGTTTTACTTACCGGTGCCCCTGTAAAGTTATCCTCAGCGGCTGGACCTGCCCCTCTCATTGTGAAGCCTCTCAAACTTAAAGGACCTCCGAGGTAGTATTTTTCTGATAAATCTGATTGTTCATAATTGTTTAGGTTCGATAAAATGCCACCCTGGAAAAAAACAAAAAACACAATGAAATATATAGTGGTATAGAGATACAAGCCTTGAGCGGAGTAAGAGTTTTCCAGAAAAACATTAATTTAGGATATGAACCACTTAAATTACACAGATTAGGCATTATTTTTTATAAAAATAATAAAAGAGTAACTAGTGGTGTATGGTGCATTGAGGCAAATTGCTGGAACTTCCCGTACCGAATTAAAACTTTGAATATTTGAATTTTGAAATTCAAAAAAAAAAAAAAAAATGGGAAAAAATTACCAAAAACAATCGTTTCGTCAACACAAGCAAAAAGTTTTTTGGATTATTCTACTGATAGAAAAAGGACTCTACATACAGGAAAAGGGACTCTACTGAGACAGAAAAGGGACTCTACTGAGACAGAAAAGGGACTCTACCGACATAAAAAGGACTCGACTGAGACAGAAAAGGGACTCTACTGAGACAGAAAAGGGACTCTACTGAGACAGAAAAGGGACTCTACTGAGACAGAAAAGGGACTCTACTGAGACAGAAAAGGGACTCTACTGAGACAGAAAAGGGACTGTACTGACATAAAAAGGACTCTACTGACATAAAAAGAACTCTACTGACATAAAAAGGACTCTACTGACATAAAAAGGACTGTACTGACAAAAAGTACTCTACTAACAAAAAAAGGACTGTACTGACATGATAAGTCTATACTGATCTAAAAAGGACTCTACTGACAAAAAAAAGAACTCTACTGACAAAAAAAGGACTCTACTGACAGGAAAAATACTCTACTGGCATAAAAAGGACTCTACTAACAAGAAAAGGACTGTACTGACAGAAAGTACTCTACTAACCAAAATGGACTGTACTGACATGAATAGTCTATACGGAACGAAAAAAGACTACTGTCAAAAAAAAATACTCTACTGACAGGAAAATGACTCTACTGACAGGAAAATGACTCTACTGACAGGAAAAGGACTCTACTGACAGGAAAAGAACTCTACTGACAGAAAAAGGACTCTACTGACAGAAAGTACTCTACTAACCAAAAAGGACTGTACTGACATGAATAGTCTATACTGAACGAAAAAAGGCTACTGACAAAAAAATACTCTACTGACAGGAAAAGGACTCTAGCGATAATACAAAAAAAAGATTTCACGCACATTTAAAGGGACTCCTTCGTCAAGACAAAAAACTCTACTTGCAAGCTAAAAAAATTGATAAAATGTACAAAAAAAACTGTACGACAAACAAAAGGACTCTACTAATCAGTAAATGTAATATTTTAAAAAAAAAGCAAACACTTATTCAAAAAAAATCACAATATTTTCTAAAAAATGAAATATTTTACAATTTTTTCTCGTAACTAAAAATACACCAATCAAGATGTATCAACAAGAGGGAGGGGAATTCCAAGGATCCTTAAGAAATCAATCACGTGACTAATGGACGCTCACAAAATAGTAAATTTATTTATAATAATCAAAAAAATTAACAAAAATCACAGTGCTAGAACAAATTGATATGGCATTTTAATGTATATATAACACGAGATATATTGTTTCGAGATACTAGCCATTCGACGAGTATTGTTAGGAAACGAATTAAACTTGTATGTCGCGGTACCACTAATTGCTAACACATTGACATAAAAAAGTATTTGCACCAACAAGGAACAAATCAAATTACCATGTATCCTTTACCCCTTACCTGTAAACTTCCCTGCAACACGAGCCCGTTCTGTATGTATCTATTGACCTGAAGATGAAACTCGTTCTTGACATGTCCCACATTGCCACCAGGTCCTGCAAACTCCGTGGTCCATTGGAACATCCTTCCTCCCGTCGGAAATACTTTATCGTCTCTCTGGTCCAAGCAGAGAATGTGTCGGAAAGCTGACTTCAGTTTAGGACCAGCCTGCGACCTGACTTCGAAGGCTGACGTCTTGGAAGGGGTGCCCAGTTCGCGTATTGAACCCTCCCATTGGAGATTGTGTCTCAACTAATAATAGATCGATTAGATATTATAAATTGGATTGTATGGTAAAAGATGATGAGATTAGATTTGGTTGCTTACACTGCCGGTGGATGTGAATGCAAGGTCTACGAGTGTTCCTTTGTCTACAGTTGCGTAACCGGACCATGGCCAGTCTGCTGCTTGTTGGAATAAACTACAGGTGAGGCTGAAATAATAATAGACTAGGTGTAAGTGGTATTGTGTCTTGAGGCAAGTTGCTTTAACTTTCTGATATGTGAAAATAATAAAACATATGAACCGATTCTGTCACATAACATACCAATGTTATGGCAAGGCTATGTTATGAAGAACTTTCCATACTAAATATCGGCAAAAGACATGTGGTTGTCAGACGTATTTCTCAGGTGGTCACATAGAAAATCTAACCTAGAAACCGCACAAATTTCAAAATAACGATCTTAGACAACGGGGTTTTCTGACCCAGCTTCATAACATATGAGTGACGTTGCAGTTTACGTGTAAAGCGCCTGAATGCACAGCAAATACATGACATTTTGACTGTATTCATTATGATTCAGTAGCATAATGTAGAGCGTAACATGGCCTTGCCATAACATTTTTCTGTTATGCGGCAGAATAGGTCCCTTAATCGATAAGAATCGAGATTAAACAATTTTTTTTTTGTTGACTGTATTTGTTTTGCACAAACTATTTTATCAATACAGTAAAAACTCGTTTATCCGGTCCTCAGTTATAGGGACTATTTTTCGCGATTATCCGGACTATTTTTTTTTAACTATTTCACGTCATTTAAAAAATATGAGCTTTTAAGTGCAACCTAAAGCATTGACGAAATTTTGACCATTTTTCGGTTAATTTTTGAGTTTTTATTTTTTACTCAAAAATTTTCAATAATAAAATTACCAAGTATTTCACCATTTTATAATTATGATTAAATGCGCCAACTTTAGGTGAGACTTGCCAACTTAGTTTAGTACATTTTTTTTAAAGGAGGGTCTCTCAAAGTCGACAGATTTTAAAAAATTTATATTTATAGTTCAACAAAAAGCCTTAATTCTTGAAAATCTGAAGCAATTGCGTTATTATTTTTGACTGTTTTTAGAAAAATGTTATCCACGGTTATGATTCCAAAGTATGAATGAACAAAATTAATAAAAGCTAACCACAATAACCAAAAAATGTCAAAATTTGTAAGCTCATAATAATTTCCATACGTTGTATTTTTTCTAATTTTTTTAATGATAGTTATAATCAATAGTATAACGCGTTATTTTGGCTTGACGTTGAGTTCTAGGGCACCCTGTATATATATATATTATATATATATATATGTATATATATATATATATATATATATATATAATAATTTTTTTAACAAAAATCAAAATATTTTGTATATCTTTACAATTCAAAAGTTTCTGAACATTTTGGCATTCCTTAGAAAAAAATTATGTGTGTGTGTGCATGTATATTACAATGTAGTGTACAATTTTCCTTCCACGATTTCGGGCGCACGGATCAACCGATTTGAATGATTAAAAAAGCATTCAATTTGAAATGAGAAGAAGCTAAATGTGTAAAAAATGATAGTTTTTGAAAGAACCAATCATCTGATTTGAATGATGCAATTTTTTCTAAATTTCAAAAATATTTTTTTTTTAATTTCTGTAAAATAATTTTTGTTGAATATCGATAACGTTTCGAATTTTAATTTTAATTCTAGCTAAAAATTTAAAGCTCACTTATATACTTCAAATAAATAATTGTAACTTTGCAATTCAGTTTATATAATTCTTTCAAATATGAATTAAGGTGCTTTAATTCTAACTCCACTTATAAGGTTTTGTTTATTTACTTTTTATGTAAACATATAAAACGTCGTCGCCTAATTCATAAGCTCCTATATTTTGTCTATAAAATACGAATAACGAAAGTTACAGCATTTATTATAATCTATTTGAAAACATTTAATATTCCTCCAATATTTCATTAAGGTACGGGAAGTTCCAGCAATTTGCCCTAAGGCACGATGCCAGGCTCCACAAGTTTATATTATATTAGTTAAATAATTTTAATATTATTGTTTAGTGATCTTAATAAATCAAAACTAAACATTTGTAGCGACTTATGAACTAATAAAATTCTAACTAGATATTTTTTGCAGTAATTTTGATACAAAATAATGGATATATTTATATTTTGTACCTTAATATATTATACTTAGAAATACAGTACTTCTTATTGTACTTTACTAATCAAATTTTAAACCTTTCGCTACGAGTTTCTCCTATATGCGACCTGTGTGTACGAGTGTCCCTTATAGACGAGATCTAGCCTGTCGACTTATGCTTCAATTATATTTGTCACTCGGAGTCAAATTATTGGCAATTAAAGTTTGTTATTGTAGCAGTAGTTTTTTTGTTAATATATTTTTATCAATAATTATTGGAAAATCTTGAAATATTTATAATTTTTAATATAAATTCTTCTACTCACATTGGTTCTTTCTGGTAGTTAATAAACGGTTTAATGAATGCAACATTGATGTTAGACGTCTTCTGATTTCCATAACTGTACTCAGCTTGAACTCGTTCGCCTCTACCAGCCAAATTTGGTAATTTCAGACCTTAAAGAAATTCCTAAATGAATATTGAAGACTGTTACATATTTAATAGAATGGAAAATTAAAATTCTTCAATTCTATGTGATTAACACTATCATGCAAACATATTGTCCATAAAGATTGATGAAAAGTGTACGTTAAAATGATAAAATTATGTCTTATGTTTAAAGTATAAATTAAAATTATCTAATCTGGATCTATTTATATAATCTATTAAAACACATGCCGATGCACAAATAATGATACAGAATAAATTGTTGTTAGTTACTTAACCAGTGCCTGATTTGTATGTATGAAATGTTGTGCTCGTGATCATCACAACACTCACAAAAACCATTCCGTTATAAAATTAGTCAATAAAATTCAAGAGTCAATTATAAATATTTCACCGAGAGCAAATTTGTAGACGGAATGTGGAGCTTTAACTAAAGAAGAAAGTCCTATACGTTTCGAAGGACTGATACCTTTAAAATATACCAACAAAATAATCACTAAGTAAATATATTTATAAATCTAAATTTATATTTAATTTTTTTGGGGTTAATGAGAATGTACTCACCGACTACTAGAGAACCTTCATTGTTGCCGATCATAGTATTTACACCACCGACAACTCTTTTTAGTTCCTGGACGTGAAAGGTTACCTGAAAAAAAAGTTTACAAATAGAAACAGGTAACAGTAGCAAGTGATTTATGCATTTATTTATAGTTTTTAAATAATTTCTATCTTATATATCGTATCACAAAGTTCGATCCATCAAAACGACTTCACAGAATTTTTACCCAATTTTATTACATCTATTTTTCATATCCCTAAGTAATAAGGATTGTTCACCCTTAAACTTTTTTTTGAAATTTTTGGACGAAATTTTTTGTTCTAATTTTCTTTTAAAGTGGCATTAAAAAATATATACAACCCAATATTTTTACTTTTTATCACCAACTCCTATTGATAGTCATTTTAGTAATCCAACCATTTTTCATCATTGAATATTTCTGACATTATTTTGATTCAGATTTTTCAAAAACTTAAATTTTACTTTAAAATATCCCTTATTAATATTAAGGGGTTGTTCAATCCTAATACTTTTTTAAATTTTGGGTTCAATTTTTATTTATTTTAATTTTTTAATGCGGAATTGACAAAATACATACAATTCTTTTCACTTCAAAATACTATTGATTTTTAACAAGGGCTGTCCGCGCCTTACTTTTTTTTTAAATTTTTAGACGAATTTATATCAGAAATAATTTTATGGCAATACAACGTTTGCCGGATCAGCTAGTATATATATATATATATATATATATATATATATTTCTACACCCTGCATTCACTCATTGAACTGCGTGTGCTGCGCCGTGACCTTGATCAGTTTTCATAATGCACTACGATTGAATACATACAATATAGGAGGACATTATGTGCTCCTTTAATTCTTCATTTATTAATATATTAGTATAATATTCTTCACACAATTTTAGTGTTCAATAAATTTTACATATTTTTTTCTGGTTTGGTATGTATATTAATTTCTCCTTTTTATATATTTATATTCATTATTAATTTTTGTATTTATGTAAAATGTTTTTTAGATTACTGAATAATGACACATATCAAGTGTCGAAATGTTTAATGGCATAAATAATTTTTCTATTTAATCTTTTTTTAGTTCGTTTTAATTTAATTTTAAACGTTTTCAAATATATTATTGCAAATACTGTAACTTTCATTAATTTTGCTATCTTTTTATATCTGAGCAAATCAAATTGAAATCATAAATCAATTTATCTCCAGAACATTAACAATCGTCATTTCATTTCGAATTCAATTTAAAAAAAAAAAATAGTTGCCTAATTTACACAAAATTGAAAAAGTGCTCCCGTATAGTCACAGTCTAAACGCATTTGCAAATAATTCTGTGCGACATTTTCACTTATACTGTGCTTAGCTTGGCGGCATTTTCACATTTTTCCATAGTTTTGACAAAATTGAAAAAGTGCTCCAGTACACAAACAGTCTAAACGCACTTGGGGAAACATTTGTACCAGAGTGCCGCTTAGACTGTGATTATCTTGGGTAATTTTTTGAATTTTTAATCCAAAATTACAAAAATATTTTTACGCTTTTACGCTTAGTTCTCTCAAAAATTGTCATTTTTTGCACATTTAGCTCGATATCTCCAAAACGACCGGACCTGCCTTTGCCAAAAACTAATCACCACTTCTCCCCATCATTAAAAATTAAATGTTTTTTAGATAATTCAAATCAAATGCTCCGTTCTCTCAAAAACTCGATTTCTATTTTCTGCACTCTTTGCTCCGTATCTCCGAAACGGCTGGACTTGCCTCAGCCAAAAACTAATCAGCACGTCTCACTATCAATAGGAATCGAATGTTTTTTGAACCATTCAAACGGTTGATCCGTGCGCCCGAAAAAGTGGACTAAAAATTGTATTCATGCATACATGCACACCAACACACACATCAATTTTTTCTGAGGT